GAATAGCTTCATTGGATACGGTTTCCATGTTCCTGGCTGTACTTAGGCGTAGGAAAAAAGTCCTACCTAAATTTTATCATTTGCATTCTTCACAACCAGGTTTTTAAACAGACTTGCTGAGTCTGGAGCTTGGTGTCAAATTCCTGCTCACAAGGACTGTTAGAGGTGTCAGCTCCATAAAGCTTTCTGTGAAAAATCAGTGAAACGCTCTGCCACTGAAGTTTAAAGTTAATTTGCCTGAATCTCTTCAGCCAAATGAAGCTTTCTAATCAATTATGAACAGAGAGGATAAAACCTAGGGTCTGCAGAGATTGGAGACCGTCCTCCAGCCATCAGCCCCGATCACTGCCCAAGTGGCTTCGTGTCTGGTGGATGGAGCCACTAATCTTTATTAGTGGGGTGGGCAGCGGTTATAGATGTTCACTCCTGGCCGCACAGTGGGGGGGGGGGGGACACTGCTTACAGATGTTCACTGCTGGCCACCTGGGGGGGCATTGGTTACAGATGTTCACTCAGGCCACACGGTGGGGGGGGGGAGTGGTTACAGACCTTCACTCCTGGCCACCCCGGGGCGGGGGTGTTACTGGTTACAGACCTTCACTGCTGGCCACACTGGGGTGAGGGTGGTGGGCACAGCCTGTGCTGAGGAGCTGCGCTTCATTCTGGGGGACGCCTGAAGGAGGGTCTGGGCTGGGCCCTCTGGTCCCCCTGCCTCGCTTCAGGGACAACAGAGTAGCAGGGATCGAGCCCCACCCCCACCCCGGGTCATCGTGCTTCAGCTACGCGCTCTGTTCTGGGGGATTTCTCGTCAGCAACTTTGTCCTGTCCCCTGGGCGCAGTCTGCCCGTCTGCTTTTCCCCGGTGCTGAGCACGACGCAGACGTTAATTAATGGTGGTGAGCACAGGGAGGAAGGGGTCTGCCTGGGTCGCCGGAGGCCACACGACGGGCTGGTCGACCAGCTGCACTAGCCTCTGGTCTTCGGTTTCCTGGGGCTGGGCGCCGGACTCTCTCCGAGGGCTTTCAGGCCCGGGGGCGGGGCCGTCCCGGGGCGGGGCCATCGCAGGGCGGGGCCGTCCCGGGGCGGGGCCATCGCGGGGCGGGGCCAGGGGCGGAAAAGGCGGAACTCTAGCGCTACGCTGAGCGAGGCCAAAGGCGGGGCCAGAGGCGGGCCCGGGAGGAGCGAGGCGGGATTCCGAGCAGAAGGGGCGGGGCCAGGATGAGGGGGCGGGGCCGGGCGCGCGAGCCTTCTCACGCGCGGCGAGCCCGCTGGAATCCCTCTCGCTGAGGTGGCCTCGCGGGCCGGGGTCTGCGGAGCCGAGCAGCCCTCCCTCAGCGCCGTCTGCTCTCCCCTGGCGCCCGCCCACCTCCCAGCTCCGACCCTCTGGAGCCTGCGGCCCTCTCCCGCGCGGCCGTGGTGAGGCGGCTGCGTGCGTTCCCGCGCGGGTCCCGGCGATGTCGGCGCGGGGGTCCGCGCCCGCCGTGCTCGGCCTCGGGTCCTGCCCGCTCCGCCTCCTCCTCCTGCTTCAGTGGGTCGCGGGGCGCTGGGGCTCGGCCGGCGCCGGGGTCGACGCGCCTGGAGGTGAGCCTGGGCGGCGGGAGGGCGGCCTTCAGAGCGCGGTCCGGGGGGCGGCCGGGCCCGCGGGGTCGCGGGGAGCGCGGCGGCCGGGGTCCGGGGAGCAGGGAGCGGGGCGGGGATCGCGGGGCGGCCGGGGTCTGGAGGCCGGGAGGCGCGGGGGGCGGGGGTCGCGGGGCAGCTCGGGCGGGAAACCCGTGCCGCGGAGTGCGGCTATTGTTTCTCCCGGGCGCGTGAGTGAAGTTTCAGTTTAAATGGCCAGAGCGTTCGTTTACATGCCGAGAAGGCCACTCTGGGTTTTGTCCCCCGACCTGCATCACTGCGTTCTGCGGGGTGCATAGCGTGCACCCCGAGACGACTTTCCCAGGGGCGGCGGCGGTGTCACCCAGCGGGGCTCCCCGCGTGGTCGCGTCGCCCACAGGCCGCTCCGCGGTGAGCACCCGGGACTGAGACTCGGTCTCCCCCGCCGCCCGCCTCCCGGCCGCGCCGCACGAGGTTGGCAGGCGATCGTCGTGGAGGCTGGGCGGCCGGCCCCTCGGCGCCCAGCTTAGCGCCTCGGAGCGGGGCTTGCCCCGGCGGCCTGCGTGGTAACACGTTTCGGACAGGCGAGAAACAACACAAGAAAACACGTAGTGATTCTTCAGGCCAGGTGCTTGAGACAGTTTCGGAGTCCTCTCCGTTACCTTGAAGAAAACTACGACCGTTTATGGAGCACGTGTGACGTGACCTAAGCGCAGGAAAGGAAGCCGACAGTCGCATCAGTGTGTCAGTTTTTATGAGGTAGCGTCCCAGCGGGGACATTATTTGGGTGTAGGACGAATCGTCTCTTACGCTTTTTAAACATCGATTTCTGATTCTAGGAAGTAATAATCTTGAAGAGTAGAATTATTTATTGCAGGACGTACTGCTTAACGAGGCTGAAGAGAAATAACGTGGAGGTGACTTAAACATTTAAAGAAAACCCTGTGTCCGGGCGCCTGGGCGTCAGTGGGCGCGGCGTCGGGCCGCGTTCACTTCCGGTCGCCGCCTCGCGTGTGTGGACGCGGGCGCTGCGCGGGCGGTGCGGGCCCGCCTGCGAGTCTCTCTGCCCCTCCTCTGCTCGCACAGGCTCTCTCTCAAATAAATAAGTAAACATTTAAAAAATACAGAAAATCCTGTGCTGAGGGTGTTCAACAGAAGGAAAGGAACGTGGTTTTTGGAGCCAGACAAACCGGGTTCAGACTATGACTCTGGTGTATTATCTTTACTTGGGCAAGTTTGTTTTGGTTGACTTCCTCTGCAAAAATGGGAAAATCGCTTACCTCTGAGTCATCTTCAGAATTAAGTAATATGTGACTGTGCCTGACAGTTCTGGAAAATGGTGGTTCCCTGCATCTTTTGGTGAAAATGTTTTTTAAGAGTTTTTAATGTTTATTTATTCTTGAGAAGACAGAGCACGGGCAGGGGAGGGGCAGAGAGAGAGAGGGAGACACAGAATCCCAAGCAGCTCCAGGCTCCGAGCTGTCAGCACAGAGCCCGACGCGGGGCTGGAACTCAGGAACCCTGAGATCATGACCTGAGCCGAAGCCAGTCGCTTAACCCACTGAGCCCCCCAGACGCCCCTTATCTATTTTCATGTAAAACATTGTAGCCAAGCATTAGATAGTGTTAGTAGCTGTACCTGCATGGTGATTGTGTTATATTCAAACAACCAGGGCTGGTTAAGTCCTCCTTTCTGCCCCCACTTTACTTAGCAAATATCTGTCTGTCTGAAAATAGCTTTCAAGCTGTATTACTTTTCCCTTTGTCCCACATGAGCTCCTTAAGAACTTGGATCTTTCTTTTTCAATTTTAATTCCAGTATAATTAACATACCATACTGTATTAGTTTCAGACGTACAATATAGTGATTCAAGAATCATGTACGTTACTCGGTGCTCATCATGAGTAAACCCTTAATCCCCTTCACTGATTTCACCTGTCCCCCCACCTCCCTCTGGTAACCATTAGTTTGTTCTCTGTAGTTGAGAGTGAGAACGGGGATCTTATCCTGTTTATCTTTGTATCTCTAAGAGCTGGCTTATTGTAGAAGTCCCATAAATGCTTGTGGATGAATAAACAGAGCAGTAATCTCTCTCTGGGTATTAGTTTACTCATGTGTAAAATGAGGGGTCATTAATTGCTCCCCAGCACCAGTTCTGACATTTCAGGATTCTGTGTGCTCTTAGTAAGCGATCGTTTGTAGAACAATGTGATATTAAATGGATGATGGAATTGCACCCTTGCTCCTAAATGTTGATAGGATTTGTGTGTAACTGCCTTTGAATGTGGGGAGGCAGAAAGTACTATCTGGAGACCTGTCACTAATTTGCTGTTTCCTTGGGCATATAGCTTGACCTTGCTGTTTTTAATTTCTCCCTCTTTAAAATGAGAGGGTGGTGGTAGATGTTTATGACCTTTCAGCCGTAAGTACTTTTATAATTACATTTTGTTGTTTTTATATTTATCTTAGAGTTTTAATAGTCACTTTTTCTGATGGTTTTATGCGAGCCAGTTCTCAGGGAAACAAAATGTCTTCTCTGCCAGCAACCATACTTACATGGGTAATGGAAGACTACAGAGTTTGAAAGTGGCTCAAGAGGGAATTTTGTGTGTTTTAAAGAGTAATTAGTGGGGCACCTGGCTGGCTCAGTCAGAAGAGCATGCAACTCTTGATCTCAAGTCATGAGTCATGAGTTCAAGTCCAACATTTTGGGACTTTTAGTATATTTTATATACTAAAAATATAAAACTTAAAAAAAATAATTATGTATTAAGATAATACAAGCCTTTTAAAGTGACCTGACCATGATTGGAACAGTGATTTATGAAAAATAGTCACTAGTTATATTTCTTAGCTGTGTGACATTTTAAATGGTTGGAACTTTATTTATTTTTAGTGTATATGGTAACTGAGTTCTGTCATTAAAAGGGAACTAAAGTAGGGGCACCTGGGTGGCTCAGTCGGTTAAATGTCCGACTTTGGCTCAGGTCATGATCTCAGGGTTCGTGGGTTCGAGCCCCGCGTTAGGCTCTGTGCTGACAGCCATCTCAGAGCCTGGAGCCTGTCTTCAGATTCTGTGTCTCCCTCTCTCTCTCTGACACTCCCCTGCTCACACTGTCTCTCTCTCTCTCTCAGAAATAAATTAAAAAAAAAAAAACCATTTTAAAAAAAAGGGAACGAAAATAACTATTTAGTAGAAAATGAGAGCTATGAAAGCTTTTTTTCTTCTCATCTGTAGTTACTTTCATTCATATTTTCAGAAGCTAACAGAAATACACATAGTGACTGTCATCTCTACTTTTGTGATTACATCCAAAAGAGTCTCTAGGTACCTCAGGTCATTAGGCAAACTTTTCATATTATTTGAAATTAAAAATTTTTTGGTTTCTTTGCAGATACTTAACATGGTCTATGAGCTAGACTGTGAACACCTGGAAGGTAGGGTTGTCTGTGCATTTCCTGACGTAGCTGAGTTTAATGATGTAGCCTGTCAATGGAGCTTTAAAAGGTTTTCAGTCATTTGTCAGAATAGGGTTTTTTCAATTCATAATCTACAAATTAGATCTAGCAGGTAATTTTTTATAATTAGGATATGAGTTTTTAGTATAGTAATTTTAGTGCAGAACATTTTTCTTCTAATAATATTATTCTTCTCCCTTAAGAATTGAAATTAATTTTTTTCAGATGTAATTTTAAGTTTAATATTAAATAAGCATGTCTTGACAATTTGAGTTGGTAAATACGGAATAGTTAAAAGCTTATTACTTGTTTGTTTAGAAGTTTGCTCTCCAGAATAGGATAGGTATAATTTTATAATGACAGTAGGATAGAAGAGGTTATTTTAATGATTGTTTTCTGCTCTTTAACTAAAATTTTAATTTAAACGGTCAGTTTCCATTTTAGGGAAGCATGATCTTATCTCTCCTGTGTTAAATTCAGAAAACATACTCTTTTCTTCTTAAGTAGAATTATAAAATAAAGCCTTTTACCAGTAAAAATAGGAATTAAATATGAATATTTGAATTCTGACAAAAAGGACAGCATTGACTTTTTTTTTGAGGAGTGTAATCTAATATGGTTTGACAGTTACATAAATATTTGCACCAAAGTCTGATAAGGACTTTAATGGAAACATGCCAGGCATAACAGTCTCAAAGGAAAGTGTGGTCAGTTCTGCACAAAACATTCTTTCCGCCTCTGAGTCTTAGCAACTGGCTCACCTCAGCAAATCGGATTCCTCTGTAGCTCTTTCAAATGCTGCTGCTTTTCCTCACTTTCATATATGGTGGACCCTGGAATGTGGGTATTCTAGTTCTCCATTGCTACGTCCACACCATTACCTCTTCCTTTTTTTCACTTTTGAAAAGAGTGTTCTTTTTCTAGCAGGAGTTTACATGTGTGATGCAAAAAAAGAAATTGGAAAGTATGCCCCCATACACCAGTACCTGCGAGTGCCAGCCAGTAACTGTTAACAATCTGATATTAGTCCATTCATATTTTTCTCTATGCATGTGTGGTTCCATTTGCTGTGCACAAGCTTTTGAGTGTCATGTAGTCCAACGTATTTATTTTTGCTTATGTTGCTTTTGCTTTTGGTGTCAGGTTCAGAAAATTATCACCAAGACCTATGTCAGGGAGCTTACCACCAACATTTTCTTCTCAGGGTTTTGTGGTTTCAGATTTTTTTTTTTTTTATGTTTATTTATTTTTGAGAGACAGAGCACAAACAAGGGAGGGACAGAGAGAAAGGGAGACACAGAATGGGAAGCAGGCTCCAGGCCTTGAGCTGTCAGCACAGAGCCTGACACAGGGCTCAAACCGATAAGCCAGGAGATCATGACCTGAGTCGAAGTCAGACGCCCAACTGAGCCACCCGGACGCTCTGTGGTTTTCAGCTTTTACGTTCAAGTCTTTAAACCATTTTGAGTTAATTTTTTAAAAATAGTTTATTGTCAAGTTGGTTTCCATATAACACCCAGTGCCCATCCCCACAAGTGCCCTCCTCCATGCCCATCTCCCCCTCTTTGCCTCCCCCTCCCCCCTGTCAGCCCTCACTTTGTTCCTAGCATTCAAGAGTCTCTCATGGTTTGCCTCCCTCCCTCTCCCCCACTATTTCCCCCCCTGCTTCTCCCGCACGGTCCTCCTTAAGTTCCTCCTAATCCTCCTATACGTGCAAACATATGGTATCTGTCCTTCTCTGCCTGACTTATTTTGACCATTTTGAGTTAATTTTTGTGCATGGTATAAGTTTCGTTCCTTTGCATCTAGCTGTCCAGTTTTGCCAGCATCATTTATTTATTTTTAGATGTTTGTTTATTTTCAGACAGAGAGAGAGTGTTCACATGAGTGCAAACATGGGAGAGGGGAAGAGAGAGAGGGAGAAAGAGAATCTTAAACAGGATCTATGCTCTCAGCATAGAGCCTGACATGGGGCTGGAGAGCCTGGGATCATGACCTGAGTGGAAATCAAGAGTTGACACTCAACAGACTGAGACACCCTGGTGCCCCTTAACAACGCCATTTGTTAGACTATCCTCCTGGTATATTCTTGGCTCCTTTGTCATAATTTTATTGACCATGTAAGCATGGGTTTATTTTTGAACTCTTTATTCTGTACCATTGATCCGTGTGTCTGTTTTTATGCCAATTTCGTACTGTTTTAATTACTATAGATTTGTGATATAGTTTGAAACAAGGGAACATGATGCCTCCAGCTTTGCTCTTCTTTCTCAAGGTTGCTTTGGCTATTCAGGTTTTTTTTGTTGTTGTTTTAATGTTTTACTTATTTCTGAGAGAGAGAGAGAGCATGAGCAGGGGAGGGTCAGAGAGACAGGGAGACACAGAATCTGAAACAGGCTCCAGGCTCTGAGCTGTCAGCATAGAGCCCGACGCGGGGCTCAATCCCACGAACCATGAGATCATGACCTAAGCTGAAGTCGGACGCTCAACTGACTGAGCTACCCAGGTGGCCCGTTTTATGGTTTTTAGGATTATTTATTCTATTTCTTTGAAAAATGCCATTAGAATTTTGATAGGGATTGTGTTGAATCTGCAGGTTGTTTTGGGTAGTATAGACATTTTGACAGTGTTCTTCCAATCCATGAACATGGAAAATCTTTCCATTTATTTCTGTTGTCTTCAATTTCTTTAATGTCTTGTAGTTTTCAGTATGTGGGTGTTTCATCTCCTTGGTTAAATTTATTCCTAAATATTTTATTCTTTTGTTGCAATTGTAAATGGGACTTTTTAAAAAAAATTCTCTTTCTGATAGTTTGCTGTTTGTGTAGAAATGCAGCACATTTTTTTGTGTGTGTTGATTTTGTATCCTGAAGCTTAACTAAATCTAACTGATTTTAAATCTTAACTTTAACAGTTTTTTTGGTGGAGTCTTTATTGTATAACATCATGTCATCTGCAAACAGTGACAGTTTTACTTCTTCCTTACCAATGTGGATACCTTTTATTTCTTATTCTTTTTTATTTTTAAGAGAGAGCGAAGAGAGAGAGAGAGAGGATGCAAATGAGCAAGGGGCAGAGAGAGAGAAGGAGGGTTCACCCGAATCCGGGCTTCTACTCACCTGATGCGGGGCTCAAACTCACCCAGTGCGGGGCTTGAACTCATAAACCATGAGATCATGACCTGAGCTGAAGTCCGGTGCTTAACTGACTGAGCCACCTGCGTGCCTATTATTTCTTATTCTTGCTTTATTGCTCTGGCTAGGACTTTCAATACTATGTTGAATAAAAGTGGTGAGAGTGGGCATCCTTGACTTGCTCCTGATCGATCTTAGGAAAAGCTTTCAGTTTTTTATTATTGAGTTTGGTATTAGCTTTGGGCTTGTCATATATGGCTTTATGATGTTGAGGTAGATTTCCTCAGTGTCCACTTTGTTACAAGTTTTTATCATGAATGGATATTGGATTTTGTCAAGTGCTTTTCTGTATCTATTCAGATGATCATGTGATTTTTATCCTTCATTTTGTTAATGTGGTATATCACATTGACTACATTGTGGATTTTTTAAAAAAAGTTTTTTTATTTTGAGAGAGAAAGTGCTGGTGCGGGGGCTCAGAGAGAGAGGAGAGATTGAGAATCCCAAGCAGGGTCTGCACCAATAGCGTGGAGCCTGATGTGGAGCTCAAAACCATGAACAGTGATATCATGACCTGAGCTGAAGTTGGATGCTCAACCAACTGAGCTACCCAGTCACCCCTACTGGATTGTGGATTTTAAAAAATGTTTTATTTATTTTGAGTGAGACATCATGAGCAGGGGAGAGGCAGAAAGAGAGAGAGAGAGAGAGAGAGAGAGAGAGAGAGAGAGAGAGAGAGAGAGAGAGAGAGACCTAAGCAGGCTCAGTGCCATTGGCGCAGATCCTGATGGGGGCTCAGTCTCAAAAACCACTAGGTCATGACCTGAACTGAAATCAAGAGCCAGGTCTTAGCACCCTTGGCTGTGTGGATTTTAAATTATCCTTGCACCCATGGAATAAATCCCACTTGATCATGTTGAGTGATCCTTTTAATGTGTTAGTAATTCAGTTTGCTTATATATTTTGTTGAGGATTACTACATCTGTGTTTATTAGGATTATTGGCCTGTAATTTTATTTTCTATGGCATGCTTGTATGGTTTTGGTATCAGGGTAATGCTGGCCTCAAAGAATGAATTTGAAAGTGTTTCTTCCTCTTCTCTTTTTTTGGGAGAGTTTGAGAACGATTGGTATTAATTCTTCTTTGAATGTTTGGTAGAATTCACCAGTGAAGCCTTCTGGTTCTGGATTTTTCTTCTTTGGGAAATTTTAAATTACTGATTCAATCTCCTTACTAGTTATCAGTCAGCTCAGATTTTCTATTTCATTATAATTCAGTCTTGGTAAATTGTATGTTTCTAGGAATTTATCCATTCTATGTTGTCCAATTTGTTGACATATAACTGTTCACAATAGTCTTGTGTGATCCTTTGTATTTCTGTGGTATCATTTGTAACATCTCTTGTTTCTTTTTGATTTTACTTATTTGGGTCCCCTTTTTTTCTTGGTGAGTCTAGTTAAAGGTTTGTCAGTTTTGTTTATCTTACAGAGAATCACTCTTAGTTTCATTGATCTTTATTTTATTTTTTAGTCTCTGTTCCATTTATTTCTTCTCTAAGCTTCATTATTAGGCTTTGTTCATCTTTTTCTAGATAGTTTTTAAATTTTTGAAAATTTATTATTATTATTTTTTATTTGAGAGAGAGAGAGCACAGGGGGGTGGGGAGTTGGTGGGGCAGGGAGAGAAAGAGACAGAGAGAGAGAATCTTAAGTAGGCTCCATGCTCAGCATGGAGCCCAGTGCGGGGCTCGATCCCACATCCCTGATTTCATGACCTGAGCGGAAGTCAAGAGTCTGATTGATGCTCAACTGCCTGAACTAACTAGGTGCCCTGTCTAGCTCCTCG